GAATGCTTCTTCCTTCCCCACCCAGACCCAGCAGAGAAGGGACAGCCCTGGCACAGAAGACAGAGTGAGAACAGGCTGGGGCGGCTCAGCGTGCCCGGACTATCCTTACTAGTGCCGTTTGTGCGGAGAACGGAGTAACACAAACCTGAGGAAACCACGGCAGGTGTCTCATTTCATCAAAACTCTGACCATGAAGCGCTCTTCGGACACTGGGGCAGATGGACCGATCCAGAAAGGAAAAAGTATTTGACAAGCCACCATGAGGCAGCACGTTCAGTTACAAGAGGCTGACCAGTGTTTACGATACCAGAGCGACCAGCAACAGACCCGGAGCAGCCGTGACGCACACCCAGTGTTTGCAGCCTGCTGCAGTGCTCGGTGTAAAGCTCCATGCCACAATCCCAGGAGGATCCTGCCATGCTCAGCCCCTGCACAGGGAAGGGAGGACTCTGCACTGCAGCAGGGCTGTGGGCATCCCGGTCAGGGAATTCTCATTCCTGAAACGAGGGGCCATATGTGCCCCCCCACAGCCATAGGCAGCGCCTCACACCCAACCAGTCCTGTCCAACTGGAAACCAGCCAGAGCTCACTGGATATTTATTAGCTTTCGCACCCTGCCAGTGACCTGGTGACTATCAGGTGTGGTGACTTCCCACTGCCAGCATTTGGCACCCAATGCCAGTGAACACTACGGAGCGGGCAGGTGCGAGGAGGGTCTTCAGCCAGGCTGAAGCAGGCACAGCTCGAGGACTTCCTGCTACCAACCTCCGCCTCCCACTCGACCCTACAGAGCATGCCGTGTGCCAGGGCACCGTTTGCAGAGCTGCAATTCACATCTGTGAGCCAGTAACACATCCAAAGGGAAAATCCAGCACGTTAACGAAGTGTATTCCACCGAGGGTGATGAGGGTTACACTGGTTTGAAGGCAACACCGAAACGGTTACTCTGAAGCAGCAAGCGGTCACTAGAAACCCATTTCTCAACAGCACCAGCCGTTCCATTCAATTTATACACGAATTGTTTCCCTTAGAAGAGGTGACATCATGCTCAGGCAAGAGAAATACAAAAGGAGCTTTATGGCTCCACACAAGATATGCAGATTGGAACAACGTCCTCCTAAGCTACACCCAGACATGGAAAGGGCAGCCCCTCCGAGCACAGCAGTGTCTGGCACATCGGGTCAAACAGAAGGAGCTTTGTTTAGGAGCAAGTGCAGCGTAACTGGGGGGCTGCTGCTGCTGTCAAGCTTCAGTGTCTTTACAGCACTCGTTCCCAGGGGTGCCCTGTGCACAGTAACTGGAAAAAGGTACTGGAATTCAGAGCAAGACGATGAGAACACGAAGGCAGGGTGCAGATGCAGAACAAGCCATCAAGCAGAGAGGCAAATCCAAAGTGGAGTTTGGAATCACAAGACTTATCTGTGTGAGACAGAAGGAGACACTAATTTTAAGAGAAGCTACGTGTTTGTGCACAGCAAACTCGGATTAGGGAGCTTTCGGACGCCAGCGTTAAGGCTCTTCCTCTGCAGGGCCAGTACCTGGCCTCTCCTCGGTTAGTGACAACGACCACGCGGAGCAGCTGCTAGCAGAACCCACCGCAAACCTGAACAAAAAGCCAAGTAGCAAAGGTGCAGAGACATGAGTTCAGCTACTTCCACAGATCAGTTCGTGATCCAGCCCATCTCAAGCCTGTTATGGCAATTCCTAAGGAATCCACTGGAGCACTATCCACAGCCTCTTCCAGGAGGAATCCCACGACCATGGCCCAGTGGCTCCAGCAGGCAACTAAGCCACATCACCTTAGGAAGCCTCTCCCAGTGGGAATGGGAATTGAACTCGTAGAGTTCAAGTCAGAGCCCTTCCAGGCCAGCACAGCACTTGGTGTTACACATGCAGATGCCAAGGACCTAGAGTTAGAGCACAGCATGCTGAAGAGAAGCCTCCACAACCCTGGAGGCAGAGATCTGTAGAAGTAACCTAGAGAACAGTGTCACTGATTCTCCAGCTATGAAAATCACGGCAAACCAAGCAAGCTCTGGCAGTCTAGCCTGCTGAAGCGAGAGGCGAACACCAGCCAGCTCATATTTACATGGAAGTCATGTCATTCAGGGCGTGGTCCAGTTCCTCACTAATTGCTTTGTACTTCAGTTTCTGGGCATAAAGCTCATCTAGAAGATGTTTAGGAGGAGAACAAAAGGGAAACAATGAGGGAAGGCAGAAGAGTTCTTCCAACACCCTGGGGCAGGAAAGCAGCATGGGATTCATGAACAGAAGAAAATGAAGTTAGGTGTGGAGCCATCATGACTGTCTGTATTAGTTCCTGACAATGAACAGGAGGGTTCCAACAGCCTGAGGGCAGTCTGACCAGCAAGTGCCTTCCAGGATTACAAGCCAGCTCCAAGGGGAGGCAGAGCCCAGAACTCGAACCACATCAGCTTGTGAGAACAAGCTGCCCAGCTACATCAGCAAGAACTACTGACAGGACGAGTAGCAGGGAAGGGCAACTCCATCCACTTAGGGAGAAGCTTGCTACACCTAAGGAAGGCTTGAGTGGCTTTGTTCCCACCTTCAGTCTCAGTACACAAACCAGCTTGGGAGAAGTCATAATAGTCCTGGGCATAAGCAGGAATTCCCACTCTGCAGTGCAGGGTGAGCTGAACAGACAGGCCACACCTGTGTTCTCCAGCAGATCATGGAGAAGACAGGCAGACCACCCACCTTCAGGGGAAGAGGCAGTTCTGAAACTCATACCAGTGCACTCCTTGGACACCACTCCAGGCTGGTAGAGACTCCTCCCACCTCTGGCTGCTGAGGCTACACCACAGCTGGTATGTTGTTAACGGCTTCAGAGCCCAGAGAACTTTGTCAGTTGTCAAACTAGGTCACTTCAGCAGCAAGGCTGGAGACTGGAGCCAACTCTCCATCAACGTGTTTCAAGGGGAACATGCAGGGATTTGGAGGAGTTTTTGCAGTTCCCAATAAAAGCTTGCCCTGGATCATGAGGTGGCTCAGATTGCTGCTTGGCTGCAATTCTGGAACAGCTCAGCTGACACCATTGCTATTTCTAGATTTAAAACACCCTCCTGAGTGACTCCAAACAACAGGACGTGGCTTTGAATCTCTAAGACCTGGCCCTAAAAGACTACAAAGGCACATGCTGTGGTCGAGGCAAGT